GCCCAGGGAGGTGGTGGAGTCGCCATCCCTGGCAGTGTTCTAGAGGTGCCTGGATGAGGAGCTACGAGAGATGATTTAGTAGCTTGTGGTACTGATAGGAATGGGAGGGTGGTTGGACTGGATGATCTTGCAGGTCGTTTCCAACCTTGTGATTCTGTGTGACTCTGTGATCCTCACATTGGCTCCTTTAGATGCTTCTCCTTCTGGAGGCCTTCTTAGCTGCTCATCTGATGGGTTTTGTGTTTGGTTTTTTTTCCCTTCTCCAATTGCAAGTAGCTGAAAGCATCCACTGGTGCAGTGTCCACATGGCCTTGATTATTCAGCCACTTAATTCGAGTCCTACCTATGGAAGTCAACTTGAAACCGTTTGAGAGGATGATGGAAAGTATCTGAAAGCATCTTCTGTGAGCTCCTTGCAATGCTGACTCTTGCAGAGGTTTAATGCTGTAAATAAATGAGCCAGGCTTGCATTTTATTCCCTACTGCCTTCTCTTGTCCTCCATCTGCTTTTGACAAATTGTAGGAGTAGGTTCCCAAGGAAAGTGGGAAGGGGAGTCTATGATTATAAATTAAGAGACTTTTCTTGTGGGAAAGTAAATGCAGACAGTGACGGTTTAAGGGGCTGTGTAAGAAATGTGCTACAGCTGGCTGGCACTGCCTGTAATCTAATCTCTGGTCTGATTTAAAGAACTGTGTGTTGCATTTCTTTATTAGGAAAGTCTTGGCTTTGTTTAGTAGTAGGTTGGAGTATTTTACTTCCAGGATGCTGCGTCTCACCAATGGCCAGAAGCAATCTGTTCTGTTTTTAAATCCCTGGTAGTAATTCTCAGTTTAAATTTAGGCTTGTCGTCGTTCTGGCAAATGAGACTTGAGGCATTTGTTTCTCTTGAGAAGTAGTGCAGTATGTGACTGCTGTCATTAATTGATGTATTTATGGCTTCAAGCTCCATACGTGAAATATCCAGATGACTGATAGAAGCAGATATTTGGGGTGTGTGGTGGAACTACAGAATATCAAATGTTGAATAAAGCTGAGGCATTTCATTAACGTAAACATAAACGTATGTTGGCTTAATAGGCAAAACCATCAGTGGACTCCCAGCTTTTTGTCTTTTTTTTTTTTTTTAAGCCAGGAATGGAGTTGCTGTGTAAAGCAGTAAATCAGCAGAGCAATTAACAACCCAGAGGAATATCTCACTTGGAAGATACGGCCTTTCAGTACCTAAAGGGAGCCTACAAACAGGAGGGGAATCAACTCTTGGGAAGGCGAGATAACTGCAGGACAAGGGGAAATGGTTTGAAGTTGAAGGAGGGCAGATTGAGGTTGGATGTCAGGGGGAAGTTCTTTGCTATGAGAGTGGTGAGGTGCTGGAACAGCTGCCCAGAGAGGCTGTGATGCCCCGTCCATCCCTGGAGGTGTTCAAGGCCAGGTTGGATGGGGCCCTGGGCAGCCTGGGCTGCTATGAAATGGGGAGGTTGGTGGCCCTGTATGTGGCAGCAGGGTTGGAGCTTTGTGATCCTTGAGCTCCCTTCCAACCCAGGCCATTCTGTGATTCTATGATGATACAGCAGAGTGAAAGAAGTGTGGTTCAGATGAAGCTTCAAGTGAAGCTATGCAGTTGTACAGTGCAAACTGGAAGAGGACAAACATGCCATACAGCACGTTCCCAAGCTGTGAAAGTTAAGTTGTACCCTTGTGCTGTGCAGTCTTTGGGACATTGGGAAAACTGCTTTATTGTGTTAACAAGACTAGAACATCGTTGCTAACAAGTCATGTAATAGTGAAGAAGTTCAAAACTGGACAGGTTTTTTTTCCCAGGTTTGTACCCAGGTTGAGTTGATTTCCAGAGCATCAAATTCAACCTTAAAGATGTTCAAAGACATCAAACGACTCAGGTTTTTATTGGCAGAACACTGACTGAGTACTAGAATGATTTCAGATCTTAAAGCCAAGCTGAAAGGTGCTTTTTGGGGGGAGGGAGAGGAAGCACTTGAAAAACATTGGAGAAATGCTCAGAGATGTGGTGCCCAGAGAAATTCACAGAGAGGTGGGGGTGCTCCTTCCCTGGAGATGCTGAGGATCAGGCAGGATGAGGCTCTGAGCACCTGATGGAGCTGGGGGTGTCCCTGTGCGCTGCAGCAAGTGGGACCAGATGGCCTTTAGTGGCTCTATCCAACTCAGACCATTCTATGAATGCCCCAGTGAGCCCAGGTTTCATCAATTCAGGAACCAGCAAGCAGTGAAGGTGTTGAATTTTTGCCTGCAGGTTCTTCTTAAAGCAATGATGTAGATGCAGTTTTTGTTGCCTTTAAATTACAGTACATGACTGATATTTTTGTATCTATTCCCCTTCTCTCTCTTCCCTCAGATAAAAGAATATTTCCATCTTCTGCAGAGTCTCAGAAAGCCCATGTATGAGAATGGAAGGAGAACAAACAGCTTCATGCATTTCCCCTTCCAAACTGTATTAGGGTGGCCTCCCCAGTGAGGGATTTTAACGTCTGCTTTCATCTCACTGCTTTCCCAGCAGCATTGTGCAACTCACCTGATCTCAGGCAATTGCACAGCAGCTCTCAGGACCCCAAACAACAGCAGTAAATCTATCAAAGTTACGTTCCTGTTACTCTGCTGCTGGCTGACCGTGGCTGTGAGCTGCTGCAGGGACGCTGCAATGACAACACTGTTGGCTAAGATCTCTCTTTAAGAAGGCTTGAGTTTCTGCTGTAGCTGTCTTGGCTTCCCTGACCATCGATGGGAATTTGATGGCAGGCCAAGAGCCTCTCAGAGCTCTGAATTAGCTCTTAAAGTGCTGTGTAAGTGCTAATTTTAATAATAAATAATAATAAAAATCACTTAAATGATGTAGGAAGAATCCTGCGTTGGCTGATAGCGCGTAGGTTATTGCCATCAGTTGGCTTGTAGTTGTCAATTACTAAACCCATTTGGACTGTACTCAAGGCACACACTGTGCTAACTTTAGGCTCTAGCTTTGGCCGTGTTGTGCAGATGAGAAATGGAAACAAGATGTGGTCTATTAGCATTGAACTTCATCTCCATTAATTATATCTAAATTTTAATCCAGATTTATGGCCTGCATTTGGTGTTCTGTGCGTTGGTGCAGTCGTCGTTGACTTCACTGAGGTCTGTTGTGCACGTGGAGCTGATGGGCAGAGTCTCCATGCTGGTGTTCTCATGGCTTAGTTTGCATTCCTGCAGTTGGGTGACCACAGGTCTCCATGTGGGTGCAGGTAGGGGCTTTTTTAGCTGGGGAGAGTTCTGCCTATTGCTGCCTTTGTGCTGTGAAGTCCTTGCAGTTTTAATCTCGGATGGCCCAGCTGCAGGTGTGACTGTGACCTTATTGTTACTGCTTTGAAGCTCTTGGGACAACTGGAGCAAGGATGAAGGCTTGCTGATACTGCTTGACTCAGTGCAAGTGGCAGCATCTGGCTCTGAGGCAGCCAGGTTGAACTGTAGCATCTCTTTCTCTTGCAAGAAATGACAAGGTGATCTTTGGCTTAAAACCAAATCCATATTAAGACCAGGCAGTTGCTGAACTGTTTTGTGCAGCAGCCTCTAGTTTGAGAATACCCGTTTAGGCAGGGGTTCATCAAATTGAGGCGTCCTATAGTTTGTACTGGTTTAAGAGTCAGCCTTTGGTAGCTGTTTGTTCCTCACTCTCGGGTGTGGGTGGGACTCAAGGCTGTTATCAAACTTGCAGGTTCTTCAACTGAGCACGAATGTGGCAAACAAACCTCTGACAGTCTGTTAGCTTGGTGAATGCTCCTTTGATGGGTAAACCAACCCCAGCAGTGGGATTTTGCTGTGGGAGCGTTGCAGCAAGCGGGGCTGAGCTGCACTGAGTGCCTAATGGTGTTCTTCCCATAGTCATATCAGATGAAGAGGAGAAAAAGGGGAATTTACCTTTCATTCTGTCATTGCTCTTAGCAATTTCTAACGTCTGGGAAGAAAACGTTCCAGACCTTTGGAATGGAGCAGGCTGGAAACTGTTGGGTAGGAGGCTTAGATTCTGCTGGGGAAGGTGGGAAGGCAGTTCCCAATAGGAAATACACGTTTTTGAGAGGTCTTATGCCTCCAACAGGGTTGTGAGACCAATCCCAAGGGTGAACTGGTGCTGTAGGCTTCAGAAACTTGGCTCCTGTGTGCTGGTTTGCTGGGCTCAGCTGGGTTAGGTGCTGTCCTCACACTGATGAAACTGATTCCTAATAGATGCTGCGGAGTGAAGTTGGGATGCTGGAAGGTGGTGTGAGAAGCAGTGCTTTGTGATTACTTGTGGTTGAAGCATGTGGCCTGGAGATCTTGGCCTCACTGCATGCAGGCCATTGGAAGCTGCTAGCCTGAAGCTTTACGTAGCTGTGCCTCCATTGCTCCTAAATCTAAAGGAATTAGAGACTGTAAAAGGAAGGAGCTGAGCAGCCTCTTCTCTGTTGTGCTGTCATGCTTTGGTCCTTGGCTCACAGCAGATGTGTAACAATCCTTCAGTAAAATTCAGTGTTCCTTCAAAGGGACAGAAATCTTTAATTTTGGCTGAGCAGAGGTGGTCATTAAAGCCCATATGAGAACATCCTGGCAAAGTGTTTGCTTAATGCAGTGGGTAACTGCCCACTGTTTTACTGTTCTGAGCAGACCCTAGGTGAACTCTTACTCCAGCAGCATGAATAGCATCTTAACAAAAGGAGGAGTTAATTGTAGAGCCCTGATTGGGAAGAGTGCACCTGGGCTTGCATGACAAGTTCTGTGTCTTCACATTGATTCTCATTTCCTCCAAGAAATATGCTAATTTCCAATCCGTGCTCGTTAGTTTCAGGGTGCTAATGACTCCTAGATCTGCCTTTTCCCATTGCTTTCTTCTGTGTTTTCTTCAATAGGAGGTGGCAATCTGAGTTCCTCTTGCCTTGCTGGCTTCGACGTGCCTGGTACATTCACCATTAGGAGCTGTGAGAAACCTCTAACACAGCTGTGATTTCTCTTCTCTTTACAGGCTTCACAGAGCCCAGTGTGCAATTAAACAGACTCAGGTAACCGTTCAGAAAATAGGAAGGGAGATAGAAGAAAAGCTGAGATGCACATCTACAAGCAATGAGCTGGTAAGTTTGGTTACTTAAAGCCTTATTCTATGCTGTAGAAGCATAAAACTTGAAACAGGAAATCATAGAATGGCCTGGGTTGCAAAGGAGCACAGTGCTCATCCACTTCCAACCCCTGCTGTGTGCAGGTCACCAACCAGCAGCCCAGGCTGCCCAGAGCCACATCCAGCCTGGCCTTGAATGCCTGCAGGTTTGGGGCATCCACAGCCTCCTTGGGCAACCTGTGCCAGTGCCTCACCACCCTCTGGCTCAAAAACTTCCTCCTCATATCCAACCCAAACCTCCCCTCTCTCACTTGAAAACCATTCCCCCTTGTCCTCTCACTATCATACACATAAGAAGTTTATCAGGAAAACCAAACTTTAATTCTTCAAGTAAGTCCTGATGGGTTCTTGTGATGGATTTAGAGTGAGGTGAGTCTGCTGTCTGCATCTTTTTCCAACCTGCTCCCTTTGGATGAATGGAATTCATGCGAAAGCTGTTGCTCAAGTGACATGTTAATTTTAAGCAGGAATTGTACTGCACCTTGTAATAGCTTTTGGCAGTTTGTTTTGCCTGACCTGTTGCCTTCCCCTTAAAAATATACTGGCACCTGGTTTAGGTTGTGCCCAAAAGGATCTCAGTCTTTTGACTCAGGTCAAAGCAACGAGTCTGCAGAACAGAATAGCTCAACATTTAGAAGATCGTGCTGGTGCTCAAGTGGTTTGCATCTGGTGCCTTGTATAGGAGGAAAAGGCAACTTCTGTGATGTAAGCTTTAGAAGATGGATTTTGCTTTGAGAATATGCAATTTCACAAGGTGCCAAACTGTGTTTAGGGCTTGACAAAGTGTGAAAATGGGGAGGAAAAAACTGATTGCAGCGTTGCATTGTAGACAACTTCAACTCCCTTAGGAGCAATTTAACTCCATCCTAAAGCTTATTGGCCTTCTGCTGGTATCCTGGCTGTTAAAAGGCTTTTAATCATCTTTATCATCTTATCTTTCTGGTTATAAATCTCCTTGTCCCTCCTTCCAAAAGCTTTTCCTTAATAAATTTGTGAGTGCGACTACGTGAAGAGCATTAAAACCAAAACTGACAACAGCATTGCATGTGATGCAGCTTCTTAGTAAAATGATCTATAATACAAGGAAATAATTACCCACTTTTGCTTTGTTCAACAGTCAAAACTCTTCCTGGGATTCAGTTCCTCTGTAGAAATGCATGAACTATGGTTTCATTCCTTAATACTGAGTCACGTTTCCTGCTGGAGCCTTGAAGCAGGAGCCTGAGCATACGTGTGTAACTGAGGCAAACAGGCAGAGGGAAGAGCTCAGTACAGTGCTGTCTCTTTGTCACACAGCGTTAAGGATTGGTATCCTTGTTGGCTGCTTGGAAGAAGTGAAAGCTGGCTGAGTCCTATGGTGTGGCAGTGCCTGGTGGCACGTGCTCAGGGCTGCCCTTGGGTTAGGAGCTCTGTCCAGGCTAGGGCTGGATTGCAGGTTCTCTTTTCCATTTTGAATCTATCCTTAGTTATAGAATTATAGGATCATAGGATGGCTTGGGTTGGAAGGGAGCTCAAGGATCATGAAGCTCCAACCCCCCACCAATGCAGGGCCACCAACCTCCCCATTTCACAGCAGCCCAGGCTGCCCAGGGCCCCATCCAACCTGGCCTTGAACACCTCCAGGGATGGACGGGGCATCACAGCCTCTCTGGGCAGCTGTTCCAGCACCTCACCACTCTCACAGCACAGAACTTCCCCCTGACATCCAACCTCAATCTTCTCTCCTTCAACTTCCAACCACTTCCCTTTGTCCTGCAGTTATCTCCCCTTTCAAAGAGTTGATTCCCCTCCTGTTTGTAGGCTCCCTTTAGGTACTGCAGGCTGCAATGAGGTCACCTTGCAGCCTTCTTTTCTCCAGACTGAACAAGCCCAGCTCCCTCAGCCTGTCTTCGAGGGGGAGCCCTGCAGCCCTCTGCTCATGGTTATTCTCAACCAGCATTTGGAACTGAAAGCACACTCGTAGTAGAAAACTCCGCTTTGCTGTGCTGACAGCAGCATCATTTCCTAGTGAAGAGAATGCCTCAAAGGAAAAAAAACTGATTCTATTAAAGATGCAGAAAGTGAGAAGCACGTAGAGGAAATAAATCCTTAAAACTTTGAAGATGGGAATCCTTCTAATGTAACTGCATAATGACACAGTCTGTTCTCTACTCTATGTTCTTTTGTATCCTTTTTTTCTCCTCACACTGAGGCTGGGATGGGATTTAATAGTGCAACTCAGACATTTCCAGCCTTTTTCCAGCCTCCTGCCTGGCTTTGGCATAGACTCCTCATTACTCACCTTCCTCCTGTGACCAAACCCTTTGCCAGGGAATTCTCGCTGTGCTCTCACTGCTCTGCTGTTAGCATCCATGTGTCTGTCCTGGGGGACTTTCCTGTTGCCTCTCCTTCATCTTCTGATTTCTGCCCTGGGCTGGGTTGCATCACAGAGCACAGGAGAGGAGATGGATCCTGCAGGACAAGCAAGCACAGCTGAGTTTTTCTCCTTCCAAAGCAGTGAAATGATTTTGGTCCCTCGTAATCTATTACATGTGGTTATTTATTGCCTCACCTTTTTCTCTGTTAGATGCTGGTCTTGTTCTGTTTCTTCTTGTCACCTCTTTCGTGGATTTACCTACGTGAAGAAAAACTGAAAAATAAATAGGTTGCTTTTACTACTTTTTCACCTATTTTATTCTTCTTCCACAAGAAAAAGGAGAGTGAATGTTTACAGTTGAAGATCCTGGTGCTACGTAATGAACTGGAGAGGCAGAGGAAGGCCCTTGGTCAAGAAGTAGCTTTGTTACATAAGGAAAAGAATACTTTACATGACAAAGGTGAGCATACAGATGTTCCTGCTTTGCTGCAGGTGTTCATAATCTGAACAGAAGAGATTTAAAGCTGTGCTAACTAAAATTTCCTGAAAGAAATCGGAAGAGCTGCTCTGTAGTGCAGTAAGCAGGAGCAGTGGTACCATGCAAGTGTATTTTAATGCCATGAGGGATGTTTTTGAGCCTGTGACTAGGATCCCATTCTAAGTGTTACAAGACAAAAATCATCCTTAGTAGCTTCTATAGCAAGTAAAAGGTGAAATGCTTAATCACTTTGGCCTTTTCTTTTACACTGAAAGTGTCCTATGGTGAAATGCTGCATGGTTGTGCCTTCAGAGCTCACCAGCAGCTGTTTAACATGGATGTCTGATCTTGGTGGAGAAGTTTTTCTGAAATTCCAGATAATTCTGGCTGTGTTTAAGCTATGTCAACTAAATTATGCTGCCACAGTGGCCGTGGAGGAAACAGGTCTTAAAAGAGAATGAGGTTTTGTAGGCTGCACTTGGCTGTTGGATGTTGTATAGGGCATGAAGAGTGACACTGCAGTTCCCCAATTTGGCAGCATGACACAGAAAATGAGCACCTGGGAGTAAATGAAAGGGCCAGTGCCAACACTTGGACTTTTTAAGGTTAGATACTGATGATAACTAAGAAAATCTTTGGTACTGCTTGTTCTTGTTTCCTGATTCCTCTTATTGCTTAGGAAATGCATTTGAGGCTGAGTATCAGAAGCATCAAGAGCGCAATGAATCCCTGCATGAATTAAGAAAAGAATGCACTGCAAAGAGGTAAAAGGACCCATGTTTTGGGTTTTTTTTTTTTTTTTCCTTCCCCACTTGCCTGCAATTGGAAAGGAAGTGCAGGTTTGAGAGCAAGGCATTAAAAGGGAACATCTGTGGTGCAGATTTCTTCCTGCTGTCACTGCTTCTTTTAAGAGATGCTCCAGTTCCTGGAAAGCAGAAGTGATAATGAACGGTAGCAAGTGTAGAAAAAGATGCTTTGTTGCACTCTAGGACTTTCCTGCCAATTTTGGTGAAGCACTGCTTCGTAGCAGTTAATTGTCATAGTCAAAACATGCCTGTGATAAGAGAGACAGCTGATAAAAAGCTAGTGTTGTCTCCTGCGTTTATCTTAATGCAAGTATTTTGCTGAGGGAAGGGGGGGGTGATACTTGGGAAGGCGTGGGAAAGGTGATGGGTGCTGATATTTATTGGAAGCTTTTGAAGAAGGTAATGATTCGGGCTTCTTTTTCCCCAAAGAGAACTGTTCCTGAAGACCAATGCCCAGCAGACCGCTCGATGCAAGCAGTTGCTCTCAGAGCTGTCCTACATCTACCCTATTGACCTGGTATGTTTCAGGGGGGGTTCTCAAATCTGTGCTTGGTGTAAGAAACAGGAAGCTCATACCTGCAGCAAACCAAGCCTCTGTTTTCTTCAGGATGAAGCTTCCCCTTCACTCACGTGCTGCTTTTTACAGCTTTTTCTTGGATTTGGGCCTCAGGCTGTAAACCTCACACGGAGAGGAATTATGCCAGCATCTCTCAAATAATCTACACTCTAAGAGTAGAATGTAACTATAACTTAATGGATACTTGCCACTTCCTGTATAAGTGTATAAAGCAACCCTGGCAGTAGGCTAGCTTCACTCTAATGGGGCTCACAAAACCAGATGTCAAAATATAGAGCTCCTCAGCCTTTCTGTGCACTGCATTAAGATAGAGCTCTTCCTCTTCAAACAGAAAACCCATTTATTTCTGAATTACTTGAGATGTGGGCTGAAACGTTACCACAGTCTGTCTGGGTGTCATTGGGTGTTCAGTTTGTCTTTACAAGATGTGCTTTGTTGTCTGTGGGTTTTGTGTAGGCTTCTGTTTTCTGGCTGTCGTTGTCCCATTCTCACTTTGTTTTTAAACTTGCAGAATGACCAAAAGGATTACTTTGTTTGTGGAGTCAAGCTTCCGAACTCTGAAGACTTTCAAGGTAGCTGGATATTTAATTCACTTCTCACAGCTGCTTCTGCACTCAATAAAATTAAGTAAACTGATGGCAACAGTGAAGGATTTGCATTTCTGATTGGAAAGGTGTGGAGTGGAAGAAAACTTGCTCAGTATTTGGTCCTAATTCCTTGCTAGTGCAAAGGTAGTTTGACCCTCAAAACAGTGCCTTTGTATCTTGAGTTTAAATGGTGATGCACATAAATATGACTTCAAATCTGCCTGACTACTTCCTGCCATGGTATGGCAGTATTTTACAAGCAAGCTTCTGCTGTAGCTTCTGACATCATCTTTTTGCAGAAGCAAACACACGCCTGCCTGTGTCACAGTCATACAGGTGGCTGTGTGCATTCATCTGCAGGTGTTGGATGTGATTTGGAACTGCCTTAAACTCTTGGAAAGAGGAGATAACAGCAGGACAAGGGGAAATGGTGTGGAGTTGAAGGGAGGGAAGATTGAGGTTGGATATCAGGGGGAAGTTCTGTGCTGTGAGAGTGGTGAGGTGCTGGAACAGCTGCCCAGAGAGGCTGTGATGCCCCGTCCATCCCTGGAGGTGTTCAAGGCCAGGTTGGATGGGGCCCTGGGCAGCCTGGGCTGCTGTGAAATTTGGAGGTTGGTGGCCCTGCATTGGTGGTGGGAGGTTGGAGCTTCGTGATCCTTGAGGTCCTTTCCAACCTGGGCCATTCTGTGATGATCCTATGAAAATTCCCTTGAATTTCTTGTTCCCAGTTCACTCTGCCAGGCATATATGATTTCTGGGGCAAAAACTTCAATCATGAGATGGTAGGAATGAATTTGTGCTACTGATTGGTGCGTTATTAAATGCCCAATTAATGAAGCATAATCTTTAAAGGAATCACAGAATGGCTTGGATTAGAGGGAACCTCAAGGATCATGAAGCTCCTACCCTCCTGCTGCAGGCAGGGCCACCAGCCTGCAATTCATGGGAAGGCAATGCTGTGCATTTTTGGCCTGTCTCAGTGCTCTGATATTAACTCCTCGTTAAAAGAATGATTAACTCCTTATATCACAGGCTCTAGAAATACTGCATTACTGGGGAGAAGTACTAAACATTGAAGTTAATGAAATAGGGGGTTACATTTGAAAAGCAGCTAACTGTCTAATAGCACTGCAGCCTCTCTTGTTCTAGGGGTCAGTGTGATGCTGGAGGTGCTGAGCATCATTAAAAGCTTTATTAGAGGAACTTAGATTAGCTGATTGCCCAGGGCTGGTTGTTATGCTGTTTATATTGGTGTTCTCTTGCAAAGAAAGGAAAGAAATCATGGAGAAAAAAAAAAACAAAAAACAACAAAGCAAAGCAGAAAGGAAAAGAACTTTTTAGCTTTGAAAGGGTAAAACTGAAGGGAGGACATCAGCCATTTAGTAGAAGAGGCATTTAATAAAAGGAACAAATGGTGAACTGCAAAGAATTGTAAAGCAGTCTGTTGGCTTCACTTGCATCTGTTCTTAAGCTATAGCTTCTGATAACTTCCTCAATTACATTGTTTGCTGAGCAGTGAGGATGAACTTGTGCTGAGTCTGCATGGAGATTCAATTGATTATTTAATGTTCTTTTTATGATTCACAGCGAAAGATGACGGAAGCATCGCTGTTGCCCTGGGCTACACCGCTCATTTGGTTTCAATGATCTCCTACTTCTTACAAGTGCCACTCAGGTATCCCATAATTCACAAGGGCTCCAGGTCTACAATCAAAGATAACATCAACGACAAACTGACAGAGAAAGAGAGAGAGTAAGTATGCCACCAGATGTACTGCTTTCTTCAAAGCAACAGGTCAGCAATAAAGCACACCTGAACTCGAGCAGTCCTGTGTGCTCAGCTGGGTTACTGATCTTGAAGTTATTTGTTGCAGTCTTCAGTAGCTTTGTGACAGTACTTTTGAGTTTCAGATGGCCAAATGCTGTGATCTGACAGTAGTTAGTTCAGCTTTGTCATCTGGGGTTGTTTGGTAGGCATATGCTGTTGATGAGGCATCTGATAATGACAGCAAAACCTGAATAGTGTGCCTGGTAGGTAAGCTGTGGGTTCTGATGGAAAAGCTCACCTTCTTGTGTTCCTTCTGACTATGGGAATGAAATGCACGTAGCAGAAGTTATAACATAACCTTTAGTGAGGCTGCCAGTGCTGCTGTAGTGCTTGCAATGAAATAAACAGCTTTCTTTAACACAGAGGATTTTGAACAGGTAGAAAAAGAGTATTATGGATTGTTACCTACTAATAAATCAGTGCTCAGTGAAGAGGTTTTCATCTGGTCTGTGTTCACTGACCTTCAGTGCACACCTCAGCTATTGCTGTGCTGCTAGAAAACTATCTTGCTGTCCTTAAATCCACCCTGAGTGTTTTCTCTTGCCTTTTGGCTCTCTGCCTGTTTTCTCGCTGTCTCTGCACCTGCGTGCTTCCTTATGAAAGCAGTGACAATTACTGCCTGAGCTTTGCTTTGTAGCCTGCAGCTCAAAGGAATGCGACGCTGACCAGCTGTGGGAGGCCAGCTGCTCCACTCTGATCCTCTGTGCCTGCAAACAGTTGCAAAGTCAGGTTTGCAGCACCAGTAACTTCCTTATGTGGTGGTTTTTTTTTTTCTTCCCCCACTTGTAACGTTTGAAAAAGGAGCAAAGGAAACGGCTGGGGGAAAATAGCTGTCTGTATTTCCTGATTCAGAGCACAAAACCTTCTCTTTGGATGCACACAATGGAAGCTTTGTAGTATTTTAGCAGCATTTCCTAATAGTTCAATCAAGATGGAAGGGTCTTTCCGTGTTGTGCATAGTTGGGAGGGTTGGGATTCTTGAAGCATCCGATTTCTTTTTGAAGCTCAGTAACTTCTGGCAGGCCAGCAGAGGTAATTTGCCTTCAGAATTAAGCTGTCACTGAGGTCTTACTGTTCTGACAAGATAAAATACGGATTGCAGTAGTTGTCCTGCAAATGATTTTTGATACCAGTTTAATAACTTGCCCAAACATTTCCTGGATAACTTACACAAACACATTAACGTTCTATTAAGAATTGTCGTCTAAGCATATGTAAATCCCCTCCATACATCTCATTTAGAAGAGCAGCAAGCTGAAATGTTTCTGTCTGGAAAACAAATTTGAGGAATAGAGCTGCCTGTGTGTGGGTGTCTGAAGATTAAACCAATTTCCTGTTGTCTGAGACAAAGTGGATGGTTTTAGTCCTTGAGGCTCCAGCCTTCCAAACCCTCAGGACTCAGTGCTGTATTTCACAATAGGTTTCTGAAAAGGAGAAGGTTCAGCTAAGCTATATTAAGGTTCAGCTTCAGCTATATTAACCCCTATTGGGCTGTTTACCTGCGTTCTGTAAGATTGTTTCAGGATTAACTCCTGCCTGAGATCTTCTCTGCCCAGCTATTGGGGAGCCAGTCCCTCCAAACTCTCAGGTGACTTGAGTTGCTATAGGAAACCTCAACTGTCTTAACTTGCACTTTTCCTTCTAGTCTGATAGCTTGTGTTTCTCACCTGCTCCTAACTGAACGGAGCACAGCAATTAACATGATTACATTTCTTTGTTTCAGTAACCTGCCCTTGAGCAGTGACTCAGTGATCCTTATGGGTCCCTTCCAACTTGGGGTCTTCTATGGTTCTAGTTGCTGGCACTGAAGCATGCACACAGCAGGGGGCTGTGGTTAGCATCTCCCCTGCATCCAGCCCCATTACTGTATGTCACTGGCAGGTATTGTAGATATTTTGCAATTGCAGAGGTGCTGGTATTTATTATCTACTCAGTACCTGTTCCCTCTGTATCCTATTAATGCATTTGGGCACTACTAAAAGGCTGTATTTATGGCTTCCTGAGCCAACATAAAGCAAGAATAGAACTTTGAGTGAATACCTCGTTAACACGTTTCCTCAGCGGTCCCTTTCAGCATCTTCAGAGTGCATCATACATATAAGAGGAAGCAGCACCCCTTCCAAAGGCTCTGAATACAGAACTCCCAAATTGAAGCTGCTTAGCACAGCAGTGAGTTCCTTCCAGTGGCAAACAAACACCCTTGCTAAATAAGCTACCTAAATTCCTTGGCACTGCGGAATAGAAACACTTCATCTTGTTTTCGTAAACATGGTAAGAATGCTGAAAGTGAACTGGTGATGACCTGTGCTGATGCTTTCTGTCAAGTCCTGCATTTAATGTTCTGTTAGCCTGCTCCCAGAGTTTTAAATAAGGCATAGCTTCTGATTTGTAGCAAAATAAGAAATGCTTTCTGGAGTAAGACATGCTTTGAGTAACTGCCTGCGTTGGTGGTGCTGCCTTTGTCATATTATTTTTAGATAGTCTCAGGTCTTGTCTTGAAATGCTGATATAAGCTAAACATCTTGCAAGGTGAACACTGCTTTTTGCTCTACCTGAATCTCTGTTTGAATCTTTTCAAAGGATATTGGTCTTGTTGTTTGTTTGATTACAGTTGTGTGTACTTATGCATCTGTTTGAGAGTCTTTTGGCTTCTGTGCTGCCTCAAGGCTCTAATTACTCTCTGTGTTTTGTAGTTGAAGCTTCACATGACTCAAGTTTTAAGTATAGAATACCAGAGAAGCTGTGGCTGCCACATCCCTGGAGATACCCAATGCCATGGATGGGACCCCAGGCAGCTGAGCTGGTGGGGGGCACCCAGCCCACAGCAGGGGTTGGAACTGGATGGGCTTTAAGGTCCTTTCCAACTCAAACCATTCTATGATTCTGTTTTGTGCTGCCATTTATGTAGGCTTAACTCAAACAAGACCACATTGTGTCAGCCCATTGTGTTTCGTGAGTGTAATCAAGATTTGTATATAATTATTGAGCAGTTGAAGTATTTCCTAGCTTTGAGACAAACCTGTGCAAACTATTTGCATTTTTCACTTCTGATGAGATTGCTCCAACATAAGAGTGAAAGTGGTATCACAGAACAGCTGCCCAGGGCCCTCATCTGACCTGGCCTCAAGTGCCTCCAGACATGGGACATCACAGAATCATAGAATCACCAAGGTTGGAACAGACCTCAAAGCTCATCCAGTCCAACCGTTCCCCCATTCCCAACAGCTCCCACTGAACCCCGTCCCTCAACACAACATCCAGCCTTTGCTTGAACACCCCCAGGCTCGGTGCCTCCCCACCTCCCTGGGCATCCATTGCAGTGCCTGACCACCCTTTCTGAACAGTAATACTTCCTCATGTCCAGCCTGAATCTCCCCTGCCGTAGCTTGAAGCCATTCCCTCTGCTCCTATCACTGATGACACGAGAGCAGAGGCCGACCCCCAGCTCACTACAACCTCCCTTCATGCAGTCATAGAGAGCAATGAGGTCTCCCCTGAGCCTCCCCTTCTCCAGGCTGAACATTCCCAGCTCCTTTAGCCTCTCCTCATATGGCCTGTGTTCACATCCACAGAGTCAAGAATTTCCTTCTAACATCTAATAACATAGACTTAAAATGAGTTGTATTTCTGTAGGTGCCAAGAGCTTAGAGCCTGATTTCATTTGTTGCTTAGTCCGCTTGGTAAAGCAGCAGACGCACAAATCGTTAGAACCAGGTCAGTGGGATGAGGCCACTTTGTAATTCAACATGAAATGTGGATGGCTGTCAGATCTTCAGCACGCTTCTGTGTTCCTCCAGGATGTAAAACAGCAATGAGTTCATCTCAAGGCATCTTATTTACAGCCAGAGCTGATGGATGCTTGGCCAGAGAACCGTAGAGTTGTGTGAACGTTAATGTATTTGCATGGCTTTGTTGATTGAATCCCATTCGAACCTGCAGGGTTTGTAGCTTGTTTTGGGGTGCTTTTAATTGGTTTAAGAGGCCAAACTCGAGAGAAATGGAGAAGTTAGAGTAGTCAGGCCAGGTGTACTTTTAATGTGCATGTGTTTGAGCAGTTCGTTCCATGGGCTGGGGTTACACGTAAGACAAGCTTGTTTGCACTAATAAAGCAAGCTTCCATTTTACTGTGTGTGGCTCACACAGGACTGAGTCAAGCAGTCTCAGTTATGACCAGCAAGTTGTGATGCGAGAAGTTCTGCCTGTTGGACCCGAGGAAAGGAAAGCTGGCATCGAAACTGATTCTGTGACAACAGTGCTGCCATGTTACCTAGCTGGATTTGCAAACAAGAGGAGCAAAGCCTTGCTGAGCAGGCATGTAGGCAATGCTTGGAGTGCTGGGAAAGCACAGATTGAATGAGCTCAACCTAAGAGTGCTTCATGCTGCTGTTTCTAAGAATGTGCAAGCTGAAAAGGAGAGGAGGTGGCTATTGCTTTGTGTCCAGCTGCAGATAAACCACTTGCAACACAGCCATCTGAAATACTGTGACACAGGCAAGTGAAGAATAACTTCACACTGATGCTAACTTCATCCAGCAGGACAGGGGAATCTTTAATCACGTTTGGTGCTTCAGCAGGGTTGATAAAATGGCAGCTCTGGGGGAGGGGGAGGAGGGGGATCTTGGCAAACTGGAATCAGATGGAGGGAGATGGTTTGTTGAGAAATCTAATAGCTGTCAAAGCAGAATTGATTCTTTGTGGTAGATTGAGTGCGTGTTAAGTGTTCAACTGTGTTGCTCAAAGAATGCTTTTTGCCATGAACTTATCTTGAACTGCTATTTCTGCCTTCCACATTCTTGAGGATATTTAGCTAGAATCCAGGGCTGTTTTATTCTTGATCACCAAAAACAGTGCTTTTTGCCTTCATTGGGCCATCATCGTTACGGTGCACAGATTATAAATGACATCAGGTGCTCTTTAATGAACGT